AAGTGTGAAAACCAGTCTTAAGTCACTTTTTTCAGTACTGTTGTAAGTTAGGTCACTAAATGAATGATTGAAAGTCAAGGACTAACTGTATCAATATGCTTGCTTTTTTTCCTCCTGCTGCCTAATATGATTGCCCTCTAGCATTGTGCGTAGAAGGAATTTCTTCATGCAGTTCTTTCATAATGGGGTTTAAATGCAATCTCATGAAAGCACACTTCGTTTCTTAAGGTACCAGAGGCTAACTAAAATGGGGTAGGGATGCAACCTCTGAAGTGTTATGCAAATTACAGTGTACATGAGATTACACTGAAGAGTGTGTGATTGGCTATAATAGCACATTGTTAGGCGAGGTTTTTTTAGATCTTTTGCCAACAAAACTGATGAACTTGAGCTATGGATGGTGGCAAATAAGCTCATTCGTGGCTGTGTGATGATTATCACGGAGACCTGGCTTTATCCACTTGACCCGGACACGTCAATGAAGCTAATTAACCGCACCACATACCACTTTGACAGAAACGGCAACTCCAATAAAAGCAAAGGTGGAGGACTTTGTATTTACATACATAATGACTGGTGTACTAAGAGTAGAGTTAGTTAGTTCTACACACTGTTCTCTGGACGTGGAATTCTTAACTGTCATTTGTTGGCTATTTTATTCACCTAGAGAGATTTCCGTTATAGTTATCACTACTGTCTATATTCCACTGATGCAAATGTTAGCAGAATACTCTCTAAGTTACATAACGCCATCGAGAGGCAGCAGCAAACCTACTCTAAGGCATTTTTGTTGTGGTTGGGGATTTTAATCAAGCTTCTCTACAATCTGTTCTTCCTAAGTTTGTGCAGTATGTGCGGTGTACCACCATATGAATTCAATCTTAAGACAAGCATATAAAAGATGTTAAAGCTGAAGGTATTCATAAGAAGTTGACAGAATTGGATAAAATACTAACAGGAATGGAAGACAAGCTGATTAAAAAATTGTATTGATTTACTCAGTGTCAAATTAGAAGAGCAAGTAAAGGAAACGATGATAAGCATGGGCAAAAATTTTTGGTATACCATAGAATTAGATAAATGGCAGAAGCTATGGGAAAGAAATTATAAATTAACAATATCAACAGCATACAAAGAAAATTTGTATAAGATGTTTTAGAGATGGTACTTTGCACCAGAAAAATTGGCAAAGATATTTAAAACAAATTAGCTAAATGCTGGAACTGCCATCAGACACTCGGATCATATTACCATATGTGGTGGACATGTGTAGAAACTAAAAGATATTGGACAAAAGTACACACATGGTTGGAAAAAATGATAAAGCAACTTCAAAACCTGAAAATTCGAAACCTGAAATAGTTCTATTAAGGATAGTACCTGAATGTGTCATGCCCCTGGTGGAGTATGACTCTGAGGAAGAGGAGGAACAGCCAACAGGGAGTGGGAGTGTGACTCCAGAGGTGGTGGAGGAGGCTGGGGAAGGGCAGAGGCCGGCTGAGCAGTCAGAGGAAGATCCAGGCCCACCCCCTATCCATCCTAGGTCACGCAGGGAGGAGAGGATCAGGGAAAAGCGAGGCCTACTCAAGAGGAGATTACCATGATCCTCCTCGTGGCTTGCAAGTGGAAGCTATGTATATAAGTTTGCAACTGCACAGTTAGAATTGCTGAAGTCAATTAGTGTTCACCTTGAAAGAGGCTTATCTTTGTTGGCGTTCTTCCCATGGACTTTTCTCAGTTATTTTCCTGGAGTTTATAATTAGTTCCCTCGGCTTGCTTCAGAACTCTCATCAATACGGTTTGTTTTGGTTTTCTGTTTATCTCATTATATACTTTTGTGACTTTAAACTGTGCCTAATAAAACAGTGAAGTTAAGTTGAAGGCTTTACTGGACTTTAATACATGTTTTGGGTTATTTTGAGAGACTACGGGTCATCACAGAATGGTACAGCAAAGAAGAAACATACTTAATTATTAATACCGTGTTTCTCCAACAATACGGCCTCGACCAATAGGAAGGCCCAGCATGTTTTATCCACATAAAATCAAATTAAGCCTCTCCCCCTAAATTAAGGCCTAATTTAAACATGTGAAATGGGGAGGAATAGCAGGGGGGGCTTGCCGTTAGGAAGTACTTTTATTGCATACCTGGATATGGTGCTGCCTGCGTTGACTTTGGCGTTGGTGGGGTACTTCGTATCAGGAGACTTCCTCCACTGTTGCTTTCCCTTCTCCCTTGCTGCCGTGGCATTTAGAGCAATGCCGCGGTGTTTGGGGCAGCCACGCGCAGCCAGCCAGGGCTCCTCCCTGCAACCAGAGCCCAGCAGAGACACTCGGCTTCAGGCGCTCCTGTCGCCGCCTTCCCTTCGCCTTCAAAGGCAAAGCCAATTCTTTTAAAAACGACACCCTACTACCGGTACGACAAAGCCTCCCCTGCCCGAGAGGGCAGCCCAACCCCACGTGGGGAGGCGAATCTCCCGGGGCCACAGTGCAGGATCGGCCCACCCCGGGAGAAGCACCTAGCCACCATTCCCTGCCTGGCGCTGGGCAGAGTGCGAAGAGCTTTGCCTGGGGCACCCAGCACAGCTGACAGGCGGGCCCTCCTGCCCGGTGGTGGAGCCCTCACCAAGGCAGCGAGCGCCTCCCTGCTGGACCCTCTGCTCATCCCGTCAGGGGCGCGCCAGAGCTGTGCGGGTTGGACAGAGCTGGGAAAGCAAGCCATGGGTGCGTGCCCGCCTGCCAAGCGAAAGAGCCGGGCTGACCCAAACTTGGCTTCCTTCCCAAGTCCCTCCAGCCTGAACCCGAAGGGGCCACCAGGAGAGGCCGCCTGAGGCAGTGATAGCGCCCACCCATCCATGGACAGGGAGGCAAGACGACAGCCTGTGCCACGTCCTCCTCCAAGCTGAGCCCCGCTGAGTCGGTGCCTCTGCCTGATGCCCGTTCCGCTGCAGCATTTGGAGCTGCCAGTGCATTTGGAGATGCGTGGGGACGGGGATGGGCTGAGCGAGGGGTGGACAGGACGGGCGGCTTCAGGCTTTCTCCACCGGCCAGGGAAGCAGCGCTGCCATCACCTCACCTCCATGTCCGCGAACGGGTGGGCGCTATCACTGCCTCGGGCAGCCTCTCCCGGTGGCCCCTTTGGGTTCGCGCTGGAGGGACTTGGGAAGGAAGCCAAACTCAGGTCAGCCTAGCTCTTTTGCTTGGCAGGCGGGCGCGCACCTGCGGCTCGTTTTCCTGGCTCTGCCCAGCCCACATAGCTCTGGCGCGGCCCTGGCAGGATGAGCGGAGGGTCCAGCAGGGAGGCGCTCACTGTCTTGGTGAGAGCTCTACTGCCGGGAAGGAGGGCCCGCCTGTCAGCTGCGCTGGGCGCCTCAGGCAAAGCTCTTCGTGCTCTGCCCAACACCAGGCAGGGATGGCGGCTGGGCGCTTCTCCCGAGGTGGGCCAATCCTGCGCTGCGGCTCCGGGAGATTCGCCTCCCCACGTGGGGTTGGGCTGCCCTCTCGGGCAGGGGAGTCTGTTGTAGTAGGGCATCATTTTTAAAATAATTGGCTTTACCTTCAAAGGCAAAGGGAAGGCAGCGACAGGAGCGCCTGAAGCCAAGTGTCTCCGCCGGGCTCCGGTTGCAGGGAGGAGCCCTGGCTGGCCACACGTGGCTGTGCCAAACGCCATGGCATTACTCTAAACGCCGCAGCAGCAAGGGAGAAGGGAAACCAACGGTGGCGGAAGGTCTCCTGATACGAAGTGTCCCACCAACGCTGAGGTCAACATCCAAGCTGTCGCTGCCCGCCCACCCAAGGATGCAAGGGGGGGAATTAAGTCACCCCCGAAAAAATGGTCTAGCCATTTTTACGGGGGTCAAAAAAAAAATAAGGCCCGGCCTTTTTTGTGAGAAACACAGTAGCAATGTTAATAATTAATAGGATTGTATTTGCTCAGAATTGGAAAAGCAATAAAATTCTGGCAGAGGGAAAAGTGATTGAGAAAGTAGTTGAATGTGCAGAGATGACTAGATTAACACTGGCAATTAAAGAAAAGAAGAAACTGAATATTATATGGTATGGGATATATTTTATCAATGGTTTGAAAATAAAACAAGCTGAAATTGAGTAGATGAATACATAGAGAAATAAGTGAAGATTGTTATAAAGATAACAGATATAAAAGATAATGGTTTATAAAGGAAATGTGATTATTGTTATATTGGTAAGAAAAGTACTAATTATAATTGTTAACACAAGATATATGTACCCAATTGACGCACTGTTTAAATTAAAGATGGATTTATTGTAAATATAAAATAAAAAACATTTTGGGGAAAAAAAAACTTAAGACAGGAATATAGAGGCTTCCGGTTTGTCGGCTTCGCAAGCGGCAGGGATTTGCGATCCTGCGCGATCCCTGCCGCGCTAGCCGCTTTGGTGCCTCCGATCCATGGATCTGGAGGCTAAGGCTGCCACGAAGAGGCAGCCGAAGATAGGAGGGATCCGGACAGGGGGTTGGGGTTTTCGCAGACCCCTTCCTCACCCGGCTTAACCCTCTTTTCTCAAGGCGGTGGAGCGGCGGTCAGCAATGGCCGCCACAAAGAAACTGACAGCTGGACAAGATTGTGCTGGAGGAAGAAGGCGAAAGTTCTGAAGCGAAAGTTTTTTGGCTGAACTGGGACTATAAAATACAAGTAATATCCTGAAAATCCTGATTTTTTGAAAGATACTTTGTTTCCAGAAGAGATTTACAAGCAGCGAGTGAAAGTGTTTAAAGAGAAAGTTTACTCTCCTTCCACATGGATTTAACAAATGGATATTGAAAATCCTGCTATTTTACAGAAGGTAAAAATTTAAAGCTTTCTGTTATAAGTGGGAAGGGAGAGGACAAAGGGAAAATTTTTATTAAGATTTTGTTGGAGGAGATGCCTGGAAGATTTTGAGATTGGAAGTTAATTGTAATAAGACTTTAAAATACAGATTGGGTTTTTTTCCCCCTTGCTACTTGATATTACCCCAGGAAGAAAAAGTGTGAAGAACTTTGTGCTCTGTTTGGATTGTTTGATGACTTTGGGATTTTGGGGAATTGTTTCAAGCTTTGAATTATCTTGGTTGTTTTAAGAAGAAGAAGAAGAGAAAAAAGAAGGAGAAAAGGTTTATAATGGCTTTATCTGTTGATGAACTGAGAGAGGAATATGGTAAAATAAAAAAAGAAGGTAAAGACGGTGTGAGAGAAATTTTTCGCTTTTTAGAAATGGCGCTTGCTACTTATCAACAAACACAACAATTAATGGAGGATGAAGAAGAAGAAGAAGAGGAAGAAGAGGAAGAAGAAGAAGAAGCCATCTTTAATGAGTCTACAAAGTTGATTAAGAAAGGAAGGAAAAAGAGAGGAAGGAAAAAGGACATAAGACTTAAAAAAAACATCCAAGAAAGAGAAAAATAAGATGCAAAATCAATACAATGTTAGAAAGCAAAAGAAAAGAGAAATACAACAGAGAGGGGAAGCGAAGGGGGGTAAAAAGACCAGATGGGACAAGATAGGAAGGAAGAAGGGGAAAAAAAGCCACAAAGGTATAAAACAAGATGTGAAAAAGAAATCTTTTTTTAGGGATACTGGGTAATGCATAACTTTGTTTCAAAATATTTCTGCAAGGTACATAAGATAGTATTGTAGTATTTGTATTAGAAATAGAAAATTAGAATTTTATAAGACTTAAGTAAAGATTAAAACATTAAAGGTTTAATAATGATAGATTTTAAGATTTAATAAAATATTAAAAGGAATGTTTAAAATATTTAGTTTAAGTATAGAGTTTAATTGACTATTGTGTGGATGTTTGTATGAACTTATTATGGTATTTGTTTTTGCAATAGATAATTGGAATGTTATGAGATTTAATGTTTAATTATATATTTAATTACTTTATTGATTTACTATTTTAGTAAGTAGAATGTACTAAGCAGAATTAGATAGGGAACGGTGTTACCTTAAATGTTAATTTAGGGGAGCGATGGAAAGGCATCATACTTCGATTAGTGATTTCAGGAGAAATCTTTTTTTTCTAATATGAATGAGATAAATGGATAATTGGAAAAGAATGGACAAAAGATACAAATATAATGATTTAAATTAAGATGAAATAAATAAAATAGAATTAAGAAGAGTGGAAAGCGGGGAGAAGTTATAATGAAGATATAGAAGGGTAAATAAGATAGGTAATGGCATATAAGTTGAACATGAATTTAATTGAAGTCCATACAAAGAGAGGTAATCCGGGGCCAAGCTACTTTTTAAAAAGAAGTTTTATGTTTTTGTGTTTTGTGTGTGTATGTTTGATTGAGATTTAATAAAACCTTGGGAGAAAGCGAGAAGAATAATTGTAAACAAGGCAGAGGGAAATATGAATATGATGAGTATAAAATGGATAAATATTGAAGAAATGTAATTGAATAAAGAGAAATAATGAGAAATCTGATTTAAGGGGAAATGGGATATATTAGAAGTATATTGTATAAAACAGTGTTTTATCTGCCTTGTAAGAATTTGTAATGGAAAGAGGTTTAATGTTTTTAATGTCTAATGATGCTTTGTTTGTCTTTAAAATTAATAAAATTTGTTTCAAAAAAAAAAAAAGATAATGGTTTATAAAGGAAATGTGATTATTGTTATATTGGTAAGAAAAGTACTAATTATAATTGTTAACACAAGATATATGTACCCAATTGACGCACTGTTTAAATTAAAGATGGATTTATTGTAAATATAAAATAAAAAACATTTTGGGGAAAAAAAACTTAAGACAGGAATATAGAGCAATCCCCCTCTCCCATCTGGGTATGTCTGACCACATCTCTCTGCTATTATGTCCAAAGTATATCCCCCTTAGGAAAAGGATATGGCCAGTGAGGAAAACTGTTAAAATCGGGCTGGAGGGAGCACTTTGCCAGTTGCAAGACTGCTTTGAGACTACTGAATGGAATATATTTGAACATTTGAAATTGCAAGAATTCACTGGCACCATACTCTCATATATCAAAACATGCATGAATAATGTAACAGTGAACAAGTGCATCAGAGTCTATGGGAATTGCAAACCCTGGATGTCAGCAGAAGTATGGACACTTCTGAGAGCCTGGAATTCTGCCTTTAAGGCAGGTGACAGAGATAAATACAGTGGCAAATCTAGGGAGAGGCATCAAGGTAGCTAAACAAAAATATAAAAAGGTGGAGAACCATCTAGCAGAAAACAACCCAAGGCAGGTGTGGCAGGGATTGCAGCATCTAACCAATTATAAAGGCAATACAATGAAGACAGTCAACTCTGATGCCTCATTGGCAGGGGAGTTGAACAACTTCACATGCTGCACCAAGAGTCCAGGAATGGGTAAGACTCCTCCCTCTGACATCATAGAGCTGAGTCTGCCACTATATAAAAAGCCAGCCCGTAGCTGGCACCCCAGCTTTAATTCAGCTGCTTGTCAATTGAGCTAGTGTCTTTGGAAGCAGTAAAAGTTTTTTCACAGCAGAGAATCAGCAAAGAGGAAGAAAATAAATTTCCTTTAGCACAGCTCCCAGGGCTCCGGTTGAGCTGTGCCTTGGGGAGAGCGGGGATCCGCTCTCCTGCAGCGTCGAGGATTCAAGCTTCAGGGAGGCTGTAAATACAAGGGAGTGCTCGTCGAGCCTCCCACACAACTTTCCCTATCGAAAACAGGCTGCCACTTCTTCGTGAATACGGAGTGTTTTTTTTGGCACCTCTCAGCTGTTTTGCCCGACTCAGCCATTTTTTCTTTGCTCGGAGCTTGCAGGAGCCCAAGGAGTGATCAAGGCTTGGTGACCATTCCTCTGGGACCAGCGCACGTGGTAGGTGGCCATATTGAGAGCAGTAGGCCATAACGCATGTGGAAGTTGGCCATCTTAATTGGGCCTAATACAGGAACGACCATTCCCGAGGCCTCACAGCTGATCCTGATCACCTGGCCCAGGCAATAGGACCACATACACAAGGGTTGCTCCCAGCACCTCTTTTGTCATTCCTATTTATAGCATGGAAAGCGACAGGGCACAGTTGGAACTCGTGGGCCTAGAAGACACCCATGGCCCTTGGGCCCCACTGAGAAAGAGGAAGAGGCAACGAGGCCATTCTGCTAAGAGAGAGGCTGCAGCAAAAATCAGGACCAAGCCATTGGCACCCAAGAAAACCTCTAAATCAGAACTCGGGGCTGAGAAGAGAAGGCATGCTGCTCTGGAAAAACAGTTTGCCAAGACCCTGGAGCAGATGAGAGGGCGATTGCAACAAGCTTCCCAACAAGGGGAATTGCAGGTTTGCCCAGAGGTTATCTCCAGGGAGGGGGAGGCTGAATCTGGCTCTACCAGTCATCTCCAAACTTGGTCCCCTGAAAGAGTAGAGGAAGAATTTTCCCCCAAAACTTGAGCAGGTCTGAGCCCAACTTCAAGCAGGCTCCTTGGGGTCCCCCTCTAGGTCAGATCATCCAAGGTGGCCATAGGCCTAGGCCTGAGGCAACCTTTACTCCTGCTGCGGGCCTGCACCCAGCTGACCCTCCTCCACTCTTTAATGATATTAGAGACATGGTCTCTGTGGCCATCAGGCAGGGCCTAGTGGAGGGGCTTCAACAGTTTTTCTGGCCTTTAGTGTGTGTGGGGGTCAGTCCTTGTTTCCTGCTTTCTCCCAAGGGTCCCTCCACAACAGAGGGGGTATCCCAGGCATTAAAGACTTTAGCGGCCCATCCACCCAGTCTGATTGGGGAGATTATGATGAGAGGGATTATACCAACCCTCAGAGCACAGTCACTCCTCTGGGTCAGAGGAAGAAGGTGAGATCAGGGACCCTAATTTGTCAGAGGAGGAGGGGTTTAGATCTGAACAGCCCCCCTCAGTGGCGGTTTTTAAACCTTCATTATTTAAACCACTCCTACACAAGGCATTAGTCACCATCCAATTAACTCCTGAGGAGGTGGCTCCAGAACCACAAGGGGATTTGTCTAGCCACGGTGACTCCCTTTTCTCCAAACCAGTGGTCCATACAGCGGTTCTCCCATCTCCTTTGTTGTTCCTTGACCTGGTAAAAGAGCAGTGTGCCTCCCCTGCTGCAGGGCCTCGGCCTTCATCCCTCGACAGGCATTTTTATAATGTGGGTCCTTCATTGGCCAATGCCCTTTTACTGCCTTCTGTAGATGCTCCAGTTCCGTGGTGGAATCCAGGGACAAAAGAAAGGTTCTTTCTTCAACAGGAAAGAGGGGGGATTATTGTCCAGCTCCGTATTTCCGTCACTCTTCCTTCCGGGCCGAATTGAACACTCGATTCTTTTGGAACCAGAGGGCGTTCCTTCCTCACCAGGAGCAGTGACCAGGGGTGGCAGACAGGCAACAGCAAACTACTGGTAAATGGCCCTTTCAAGGAGGAGGAGGTCGTTTGTTTTGATGCTCTAAGCGAATGCCCTTCCTCCCCTCCCATTAGAGGTTGACTGGGCTTTTTAACCTCCAGATGGGAGGAGTCAAGATCAGATACCTGGGTGCTCAGGACAGTGAGGTCGGGTCTCTGGCTCAAGTTTCTCTCCCCACCCCCAAGATTCTTTGCTTGATGTCTAAGATCGAAAGGGCCATTATGGAATCGGTCATCCAACACCTGGTGGACATAAGGGCTGTACAACAGGTTCTAGTGGATCAATGGGGGCTTGGTTTCTACTCTCAACTTTTCATGATCCCAAAGGTCTTGGGGAGGAGTGGAGAGCTATCCTCAACCCCAAATCTCTGAACAGGCTCATCCCATATAGGCGTTTCAAGATGCATTCCTTGCATTCTATTCTAGAGAGCGTTCAGGAGGGTGACCTCCTCTCATCTATAGACCTTATGGAGGCATACCTCCATATTCCTACCTGGCCCCATTGTCAACAGTTTTTTCGTGTTGGTTATCAGAACAGGCATTACCAGTATCGGAACCTTCCATTTGACCTTTCATCGGCGCCCAGGGTCTTCACCAAGATCCTGGCAGCTTTGGCAGTGTCAGCCTC